CGACCTTGCATCACACAGTCTTGTCAAACAGAAATTGCATCATTGTGTCGAGTGTCACCACTGGAGTCTGAAGCCTCAGTATGTCAAGAGACACACGTTGGCCAAACACCCAGAGCTCACTGACATCATTCAGAAGTGTGCTGCGTTTGTCAAGCAGAGTAACCTGGGGCTCACTAGTCCGTGCAGATTTTGTGGTGAAACTTTCAATCGCAGAGACGCTCACTTGCGATCTTGTGTTGCACTGTTCAGTGGTGCCTACTTGTATACGCGAGTTGCACGTGGACCTCCACTCGACTCAGAGCCGCGTCATGGCCCCACCAGGTGCGACAGAGGCGGAGAACCCGCTGGAGATGCAGCGCCAGAGCCTAGCAGATGCGACCACGGAGCTTCAGCTGATGGAAGCATTGGCTCCTCCAGGCACCATCGGGCTTCCGTCGGCCTTGCAGCTTGCTGGAGTGGCCTCCCCCAACAGGGTTCGGGCAGATCAGACTCTCATGGACCCCGACCTGGAGCAGGAGAGGGACGAGGAGATGCAGGCCAAGGACAGATCGCAGCAGCCGGACGAGGCGTCCACACGCAAGGAGCTGCAACGCTTGAAAGCCCAGGTTACCATGCTCACAGCCTTGATCCTCCGGCACGACAACCAGATCAACATCGCGAGGCTCGACACGGCCTACATTTTCTTCCTTCGCACCGACGTCCCGGGAAGCATGGCAACGGCCCTCTACAAGACAGGCCTGACATGGAAGGACCTGAAGGAGAAGCATCCGGAGAAGTTGGAAAGCCCGATGAGGGTCATTCTGATGCAGGGCTTGCTCTCCAGCGTCCCCAGCCGCTTCGAGCAGATGATCGCCGACGAGGAGAAGAAGACACAGGCCATAAGACTTGGGTGGCTCAGCGAAACCGGCAATCAGGTCATGGGGATGAAGTGGGATGCCACTCGCAAACAGCATGTGGTGGACCCCACGGTCAAGGCGATGGAGACCACCACAGTCCAGGAGGCCCTGACGGAGCTCATGGTCTTGTGCAAGGCCCCGTTGGTGGTCAATCGTTTTCATGCCACCAGACCCATGGCGGCGGAGTACGACTCGCCGGTACTCCCGATGATGCTGGACATCGGGTTCAGGGTAGAGGCCGCGGACAAGGCATGGAACCTCTTCAATCAGCTCAGCCGCTCGGCAGTGTGGATCAGTGCGGGGGCCTACATGCGTCACGATCGCCTACAGAGGGGGCCGTTGGCACAGAGGCTGGCGCTGTTCACGGAGAGGCAGAACCAATGGTGGAACAGGTCCTGAAAGCACGGCTGGGGAATCGCGGCAATCATTGCTACTGCAATGCGTTGCTCAAATGTTTGTGGGTCTTAGCAGCGAGGTCCCCCGGGCCGGAACCTTTACTTCCTGAAAGGTTGAGCATGTTTCTTAGGGGCTTCTTCTCCGCCACCGGGATCTCGTATGTATGGGGAAATCCTTTTTGGCGGACCTGGCTAGGGGAGTGGCAGGCGCCAGACAATCAGCACGATATGGCTGAGTTTTTGCAATTCCTGGTAGCAAAGAGCACTGGTCTTGAAGTACAGATCGGAGCTGCTTGGGAGGCAAGGCTTGAAGCCGAGGGCCGACTGCTGAAGTATGATGGTGGTTGCTCTAGTCCGTTGTGCCTTCTGCCGGGTAGGGGTGATTGCACCATTCAACAGCTGCTTGACCTGTGGCACATGCAAGATCAGTCACATGCCCTCCTCGCGCCACCCCAAGGGTTGACCTTACAAGTTGGCCGTTTCCGGTACAGCAGTCGGGATGAGCGTAGCACCAAGCTTAATTTTCATGTTGTGCCTGACCAGCGGGTGTTTGTGCCTGTCTTTCTTCATGGAGTGGAAACCCGACTGAGTGAGTACAGGTTGTGTGCCTTCACAGTCCACCACGGTGACACTCCTGCGAGCGGCCATTACACGGCAATTCTTTTGTGCCAAGATCGTTTCTATAAGCTGGACGACGGAGTGCCAGCCAGGGCGTGTGATCACCATGAGTTTGAACAAGGTTGCTCAAACTCTTATTTATTCTTCTATGTTAGAGTTGATGGGTGAACATGCCCGGGCCCTGCTCAAGGGGTGTTCGCACCGAGGGCTCAGGTGAGGCTTTTGGGATGTGGCAATAGTCCACAGCAGCTGCCGGGACGAAATCGTCTTGTCCCATTCTCGTTCGCAGAGATCTGAGACTGTGCAACGCGGAAGTGAAGTATGTATGTATGTATGTATGTATGTATGTATGTATGTATGTGTGTGTATGTATATATGTATGTATGTATGTGTGCGTATGTGCGTGTGTATATGTGTGTGTGTGTATGTGTGTATGTGTGTATGTGTGTATGTATGTATGTATGTATGTATGTATGTATCTATGTATGTATGTGTGTGTATGTATGTATGTATGTATGCATGTATGTATGTGTCTGTATGCATGCATGCATGCATGCATGTATGTATGTGTGCAGTATGTATGTATGTATGTATGTATGCATGCATGTGTGTATGTATGTACATGTGTATGTGTCTGTATGCATGTATGTATGTATGTATGCATGTATGTATGTGTCTGTATGCATGCATGCATGCATGCATGCATGCATGCATGCATGCATGTATGTATGTATGTATGTATGTGTGCAGTATGTATGTATGTATGTATGTATGTATTTATGTATGTATGTATGTATGTATGTATGTATGTGTCTGTCTGTATGTATGTGTGTATGTATGTGTGTATGTGCCTGTGTCTGTGTCTGTGTATGTCTATGTGACTGTATATGTAACAGTATGTGTATATGTATATATATATATATACAGATGCATCCGCTATTTGCATACATCTACACTCACACATATGGTCGCACACTCATACATGCATGTCTACATACAAACAAACATGATTACATACAAGCGGCTCTTGAGCATGTCACCGGTTGCCACCCCCGTGACGCAGCACGTCACTGCCTCAGTCCGTCGGTCTTTTCCAGCCCAAGAAATGCAAGACCTGCTACCAGACATTCCCAAACATGTACTGCTGCCCTCGATGTCGTGCTGTGGCGAACCCTAGAGTCGCCTACACTACACCAAATCGAGGCCCCTGCCACACCTCCCAGCGTCCCAACAGCAACCTTCGCTCAACATTCAACACATGAAGCGCTGTTACAGCTAGCATTTCATTCCTCTGTGCAAAGGCTGTGCATCTTCTGGTGGCGGGGGAGCATGGATCCATTGAGCAAGACTGGCTTGGGCGGGCCCTTGTTCAATTTGTTCACCAACGCACCTTCCTTTATGAGTCATCCTGGTCTTCAGTTCTGGAGGGAATGACTCCAATATTGAAAAAACAGATGGCCAGTAGGACAACTTGGCACCTCTCACCAGACCATTTCGGCACGAGCAGCAACAGCTTCTCTGTCCAAGGGCATCATGCCACAATCTTGCCATCGCTATCATCATCATCACCACCACCATCATCATCACCATCACCACCATCACCACCATCACCATCATCACCACCATCAGCACCATCATCACCATCACCATCACCACCATCACCACCATCACCATCATTACCATCATTGGGACCATCATCATAATCATCATGTCGCTAGACTTAGATCTGGGGAAATTGTGGACATCCGGCCCGAAGATACTATCCCCTCCCATGTTCTCTAATTCTGTACAAGTACACCCGGACTGCCGGAATCAATCAAGCATTTAAGAAACATCCAAAACCCCAGCTGCCTGGCTCGTGACGGCCTCAGCTCGACCTTAAGCCCTCGGAGCCTGAACTAAGGCGAGTCAAAGGGACGCTCCCCGTGCTCAAAGCAACCACCGCTGCCGCAAAAGCCGATCCAAGAGCTCCGAAGATCGCGATCACCTTGCTGAGCACTTATGATGGGTTCACGTTATTGTAACTTGACCGAAGTCTAGGGTTCAGGAGTCACTAGGTGGTGTTTAGGGTTTAGGGTTCAGGTTCGAGGTTTAGTTTCTTGGGCTGTAATACATTCCGACTGGTTCATCTTCTTTTTGAAATCAGTTTTTTGTCGCACAACCGCTTCGCGGCCTCGTGTACCTCGCAAACCACCATCACCACCACTATCGTCAGTGCCACTGCTATGCTCATCAGAACCTAAGAACCGAGGATCATGCCGCCATACCAGAATGTATGCCATGCACCGAAGCTGCTAGTATGCCCTATGCCTCAACACCCTAGACCCTAAAGCAGTAAACCCCAGACTGGAACCTCAGAGCCAAAACACCCGAAACCCCCAAACCCTCAAAATTTGGCTTCGCTTCTGAGCATTGGGCGCCGGAGGGCTGCCTTGGGATGACTCGCCCCGAACCCGTGCCCTCCGGGCTTAGGCCGGTAGCTCGACCTGACGCTCTGGAGGTTCGAGTTCTGCACGGATTTCATTTTTCAAGCAGGGCTTTAATTAGGCGACTTCGAGAGAGCTCTCGTAATTGCGTTTGGGGCCTGGGGGTTCAGAGCCCCGATGTTAAGAGGTCCCGGGCCTTTCATTGGAGGTTGTAGTGAGTGTAGTGTAGTGTAGAATTTCGGCAATGAGCATCCGCCGAAAGGTTCACGCAACACCACAGACTGCTTCATTTTTGTGCATAAATCTTCCTCAGAAGTGCAAGCACTCTGTGGGCACCACCATGCGCCCACGAGCTCATATCCACGCGCGCTATCAAACGAGACACTTGCTGATGTGTAGGAAGCGGGACTGGGGGGAAGATGTCCTCCCTTACACGCAGCAAAGTGTCAGGGTATGTACAACACGCAAACCATGGTGAAACGGCAAAGACAGTAGACCTTGCTGCTTCCATCAAGGCGTACTTCTTTCGCAAATAACAAGCTTCACTTCATTGTGTCCTCGCACTTCGCGCAAATACAGACCCACAGAAGACCTTGACATAGCCGCCCAAATAGCCGAAGGAGTAAAGTGTGCAGCTGCAAATGTGTCTGTCGGACCTTGCCACACTACGCTTGCTGCAAGTTGCCAAAATCGAAAAGAGCGGCGGGGTCGATGCCGAGATCATCCAAGTCTTTGTTCAGCTCGATGACAACAGCCTAGACCGGGGAAGTCCGGGAGGGAAAAGGGTGGTTGTCATGTCTGAGGATTCGATGATATCTGTCAGGTTCCCCAATCACTGCGCATGTGCTCGTACTCTGGTACGCAAAACGCCTAAATATGTGGCCTAAATATGTGTAAATGTATGTATGTATGCATGCATGCATGTATGTTATTGTGTATGTATGTATGTATGTATGTATGTAGGTATGTACGTATGTCTGTCTGTCTGTATGTATGGTGTATGTATGTATGTATGTATGTAAGTAAGTATGTATGTATGTATGTATGTACGTATGTATGTCTGTATGTATGTATGTATGTACGTATGAATGAGTATAAGCATATAAATATATAAATATAAATATAAATATAATTACAATATATATATATATACATACACATATGATATGACGTATGGTATATGTGAAGTTATACGAGCAAGCAAGCAAGCAAGCAAGCAAGCAAGCACGCAAGCACGCAAGCACGAAAGCACACAAGCACGCAAGCAAGCAAGCAAGCAAGCAAGCAAGCAAGCAAGCAAGAAAGCAAGCAAGCAAGCAAGCAAGCAAGCAAACATACACAAATACATGCATACATACATATGAATCTCTGTCCCTCTTCTTCCGCCGGGTTTGAGGGGCGAGTAAAGCCCCCCGACCCATAGGGCCCCCCAGGTATTAGTGGGGCTTTCCCCCCCTCTCTCTCTCTCTCTCTCTCTCTCTCTTTCTCCTGCTGTCTCTCGCTCTTGTTTGAACAGACATTCGGCTTTCAAGAGCAGTACGGGACAACACGTTAATCAATCCTGACCTTCCTCGAGAACGCCTACGGCGAATCAGAAGCTGCTGGTTGCTGCCGTCCCTCTCGCTGCCTACACTCCCTTTCTCTTACTCTCTCTCTCTCTCTCCCCCTCCCCTCCCTCCCCCCTCCTATACCTTTCATTTCACACTCTGACACCTACTGGCCCGGATGACTTCAACAAGCTCTAATATGCAAGTTCCGCATTTACATGGCAATGAATAAGCTTCCAGCATTTCGGAGGCGCTGGTTGAACTTGTTGCTCTGGAAAAATTGCTTCAAGCGCTTGATGCGGTATCTCCTTTGGGCTTCTCTAATAATACGCTCATCAGCATAGTAGCTGCCGTTCTCGGTGAGGTTGGCCTCGCACTCCCGGACATGCTCATGAGCGCCCCTCGAAGTGGCTGTCGGCTTGTGGCAGTAACCACAAAAGTTCTGTCTGCATCGGCCACACTCCAATGCCATGCATCCTTCAAAGTCCACATAAACTTGCTGGCATTCCTTGTTTGGGCAGGTAAGACTCAGGGCTTCGTTGCGTGCCTTAGATGCAAAGGTGGCAGCTTGTCGGCGGATCTGCTCATCTTCGTTGCCGTATGAAGCCATGAGCTTATCAACCTCTCGCTGTAAGCGCTCATCGAACTCATGCTGCAGCTTCTGGACCTGCTTCGAGACCTGAGCATCCACCAGAGTTTCGTGCAGTTCTGTCCAGACTGCCGGTGAGCACTTCTGTGCCAACTTCCTCCGGTCCAGCTCATCCTTGCATACAGGGCAACACACCTTCCCATCCATGGCGATGTTGGGACGGCAGGATCTCAACCAATCCTGCCAAGATCAACAGCACGATACGTCCGATGTAACCATAGATGGTTCAGAGTAGTAGCTGCTATGTCGGATCGAAGAGGGAAATCTCCTACCGATATCATCCCACGCCATATCCTAGAAGTGGCAAAGACGCTCCTCCAAGCAACTGGACGGCGGCTCTGTGCGCTCTCTGGGTGCACAGAGAAAGTGGCCGTTTGGACATCGCATGCCTTCTTTTTCAAAGAAAGGGTCACAACAGCTCTGGCATTGCACCACCTTGCCAGGGGTATGCGAAATGTTACTCAAAGTATACAAAAACGCGTTGACAGTCGGCATCTCCATATGGTTCCCACCGTGGCGAACCCATTGTAAGTCAGCCAGCTGTGGATTCTGTCGAGAACGTCTTTGGCTTCAGTCCTGGAGCCCATCGACTTCACAACGCAGACCTAGGCTGAGGATTGGATTTCTGCGGCCTAGGAAATGCTGTGCCAAATTTTCATTCTAACAAATCCGAGATGCTTGCGCAGCGTGCTCAGGACCGGTGTCAATTCGCACCTTGGTGCTGCTGTGCTACAGTAGCAGCCTGGATGATGCAGAGTTTGGCACGCAAACACGTTTCCCGAGCAACTGAACACGACTCTACAAGCTAGAGAGTAGAAGCTTCCCATGTAGGCCCACCAAAACTCGAACTTTCTCAACCATTCCAGGCACATGTTGAGCTTCTGCCTGACTCACGAACAGCTTTTTCTGGTCAGGTTGCTTGATCAGAGCCTGGAACGATGGCGACAATGGCACCCGAAACCGCTACACATGATGTGTAGAGCTACACCTGCCAATCCTCTAACTTCTGCAGCGTGCGCTCTGCATACTCGCGCTTGTCGATGCTGGCCACGTCCTTTGGCACGGGTCGAAGCTTGGTGCCCATTGTCTTCACGACTTCTGCAGCCTGTGGCAAGAAGGCGGTACATACACAGCAATGCAAGGGTGTAAATCCAGCGTGAAGTCAACATCCAAGATATTTTTGCACCTTCGCACCGCGGATCTCCAAACAACTCTGGCCACCGGAGTCTTCGCACATCTCGACGGTACAAAGCTTGTCGACTGCCGCATTATACAAGCCTTGTGCAAGCAGGGTGGAGGTCCGTTGACAGCCCGCTTTGTGAAGTTTCAAAAAATGCCGAAAAGACTGGCTATTACCGTTGTAAGCCGTAGTACCCAGCCCCATCTGCAGCTCAATCCAAGCAATCATTCAACCTGCTGCTGGTCTGCCGGTAGATGTGCCAAGCAGAAAATCCCAGCGATGCTCAGGCAGCATGCGCTGGAAACAGCTTGCAAGTCTGAAGGTCAGTTCTTCGTCAACTAGTGATGAGTGGAGCACGAAGAGTAGGAGTGATGGCGTTGGTGGTAATGAGTAGCAGGAAGAGCAGCCTAGGAGTTAAACCCTAAACCCTAAGCCCTAAACCCTAAACCACGCACGGATCTTAACCAGAAGGGGATTCGTCAGAAAACTGCCTTTTCTGCTCGTTTTGCTTTCTGCTACCTCACATGTCTCATGAGGATGTGATCTGTAATGGGCACATGCTCATGCCTCGGAATGATTCGCAGTGGCTTGAAGTTCCAATCTGACATTGGCCGTTGGAGGTGTGGTACATTCGAATGAAATGTGTTTTCAAACAGGGTTGTCGATGCGACTGCACGCCACAACTACTGGATTTGGCGGTGTCTGGCGACGGGTCGATGAGCAATGCTTGGTCCCACTGCTACATAACACTGTGATTTCTCGCCCAGTGACCTTTCCAAAACTTGTCGGACTTCTCCAACAGCCAGACTTCCTTCTCATAGCAGCAAGGGCTCTCGAAAGTCCACTTTGCGGTATGCAGACAGTGAACTGAACATATCTTCCACATGACGCAGAAAGCAAGACAGAAAAAGCTCCAGACAATCTGAGCTTCGTGGGGTTTCAGGAGAAGGCCCTGTGTCTGCTGACCCGAGGGGCGCGACAGGAGTGGGACCACTGATTCCACCTTGCGGATACTTAACGGAGCTGCAGAAGGCGGAGCCGTGCCCACGTAGTCTTGCAAAGTCTTCCTTTGCACCTGCACTCTTCGGCTGGGTTTTAGCTCACAAGCTAGGATGCTTCGGGAACTGTCGAGCTTCTTGAAAATCCAACCCCCGGCAGCTCGAGACACTATTCCCGGTCTCCGGCAGAGGCCTTCGGAAAGAGCTGATCAGCAAACTGCTCCGTGTACCTTTCCTCGGTCAACAAGCCGAAGCAGTACCGCAAGCAAAGCAATGGTCAATGGCCTCTGCTGGCGGCTTCCCTGAACCAGAACAAACAAGCTCGACATCTTCGACAAATCTAAATCGGCAAAGCCTCATGTTGTACGCTCGGATCTTCTCTTAGCTGCTCCGGGGCATGTGCGAAGGCACAGCAACTCCCATACTGACAGATCTTTGCCCCCCTGGCAAGGCTCTCGCAGAGCTGTGTACGGAAGATGACTGGATGATATGCCTTCTCCACGCCAGTCACGTTCCACTCGTCTTCAGGCAAGTAAGGATCTGTGTAGGGATTGCGCCGCCGATCCTTGGCCTGGTGGAAGTATTCACATTGCTTCCAGTCGTGTCTTTCCTTTTTTGGGCACTCCTTGGTCTTGAACTCGGCCAAAAACTTGGGCACGTCCTCACCTCAGACTGTGCTCAGGCTTGGACACATAGTTGGAGCTTACTAGCCACTGTGGCGCAAGTACAGACCAGAGACAAGCATAAGGACCAGAAACGGCAAGAAGTGACGAGACGGTAAGTAGCTGAACTGCAGCTCTGCTAAAGAAACAGAAGGTACTCACAACCCCCACTCCGACTGGTCAAGTCTAACAGCCTTGCAGGCCGAGCACTGGAAGACTGGAAGCAGCAAATTTTCCGCCAAGATGCTGGGATGGGCTGAGGCAGACGCCTTCGATGCCTGTCCAAAGAACCCCCGATCTGACGAGCTCCGAGTCTCACGATCAACTCATCCGTCGAAGCCCTGAACACCGAGAAAATGGCGAATGCCGGGAACTCCTTGGGGGGACAGGGAGCCCTGATGAGCCCTGTGTCCATGGACCACTCTTGGATTTTGATCCCTTCGAGAAGGAGGGCCTTGGGCTTCCTTCGAGAAGGGATGCTCTGCCACTCGGCCATTCCTGCGAGAAGAAGCCGAACTCTCTGGCTGCAAGGGCTTGAGCCTGGGGAGTTCTTGACGAGCTCTGGGTTCAGAGCTCCGTAGCACTGGAAGGCTTCCTCACATGTTGCCTTTTCAGCTTGAGATCCACCCAAAACCCAAACCCAGGGAGCCCGACCCCATCTCCCGAGAACGGAGGAATCTGATTCCCGCCCTGGGCCTCAGATGGCCAGCGCCTGCGCTTCTGTTTGGCTATCGCCAAACTCGCGAGTCGTCGGCTCAAGCGGAGGAGGCCAGGAAGCAGCCAGAAGACAAAGCCAGAGCTCCCAACCGAAACGGCTAAAGGCACCAAGAGCACTGCAAGCCCTGTTCTCAGAACATGTTTGAGACTCGACACAAAAGAAGGTCCGATCCAACGATGCAGTGTGCAGCTGCGCGTATGAGTCGTTTACATTCCATTTTCTGCACCTTCTGCAACCTCATTTCCGGAACTCTTGGGCTGTTTGCCTTTAGAATTGTGCGGCTCAGGGGCGGAGATTTGGGGTGTAGAATGCCTCTTTATGAGGTTTGGGGCTTAGCTTAAGGGCTTGGGTTCTTCTCGACTTTTGAGGCCCGAGCCAACCCCGCTGGACAGAAGGGGCCCTGGGCCAAGGATCGGACTGCGTTCAAGTCTCAACTGGGCCCAAGGCTTTGTTTCTTTGTTTTTTTTTCCCTGGGTGGTCTTGGTCTTGGGCTTTGTCTTGTGAGGGTTTGGCTTCGAATCTGTGCACTCTTCGGGGTCTGTGGAAGGGCGAAGGCTCCAGTAGCAGCTTACGGGAGGGCGATTGAGCTATGCTTGGGCTCCTTTCCCCATGCCCTTCGCCTAGTAAAACATCGCTTTCATATGAAGAGCAAGTCTAAGCTGCAAAACTCTGCATTCCTACAACCTGGGGTCAGATGCAGACCTCCCGGCAAGTCACTACGACAGCCATGATGCTGCTGACGCACACATCTACACCAGTGCGTCTACCAATCGTAGCGGCTAATAAGATCACATTACGTTTCAACAACCCTCATGGACTCTACGCTTAGTGCTCGAGCCCGGCTCCTTTGCATTGAATCATCTAGTCTGAGGCATAGCCCCATAGAGATAAAACAAAAAAACAGCAGCAAATTTCAACTCCTACCTTTCCAAGAGCAGCTAGACAATCCCAAAACCAACAATACCGAGAAACGGGTAGAATTTCTGCAGCCTGTCTGACGGAAGTACATGGTTGTTACTAAGCAACTGTGTGGAAGATTCCTAGC